AAAAAAATATATATTTTTTGTTTTTGGGTGAGAATTCACGAACATCGGTCCCAACCTAAATGAAGATATCATCATTTTCTGTCAGAAGTTTCAAATTTGCCTTCTGGGAAGTTAAAACACAAAAATTTGCTGACTTGGCTGGGCTGACTGTCATATCATCTACATCTATACAAGCATATATAGGCGGTTGATTGTACGTTCGACCGACCAACCGGCCGGCCGGCAGTTTAGTTGCCTCGCGTTGTGCAATTATTCGGAAAAAAGGGTGGCTTTTTTTCTGTTTTGCAATTGAATTCGGATTTTTTGCACAGAAATGATTTTCAACCCTCATAACAAATTCATGACGGCAAGGGAGGTGATGGTGGTGGTGGTCGGGGTGTAGTGCCGTACTGAGAGTTGTAAATGAAATTAAAAATTAATGAATAATTTGAATGACTTGAAAAACAAATGTGTTAGAAAATTTACTGCCATGGAAAGCGAAAGCGCGAGTCTGTTAATTTAAAAATAATTATTGCAGCAATTTGTGTAATTTAATTGTATTATGGAGCTAATTTAAAAATAGTTAACAAAATTGTAAACATGTTTTTCTGAACTCTATTGGGACCCAATTTTCGAAAGTAAAAAAAAACGTTGGTAGTTTTTACAGTCTTCCTGCTGAACTGCCACTATAAAGACTCCCTTCAACAAATCTATAAAGACTACCTCCAATTCTTCTAAAAGACTGCCTCCTGCTCGTCTATAAAGTCTTCCTTCCTCTACGAAGTAATCCTTTAAGGTCCTCTAAAGAGTCCCTTCAGGACCTACGAAAACCTTCCTTTGGTTCCTCTAAGAAAGATTGCCTTCAGCTCCTCTAAGAAAGATTGCCTTCAGCTCGTTTACAAAAACTCCCTTCAGTTCGTTTGTAGTCCCCATTATTATTTGCTCCGTCATTGTTCCCCTCATCACTATTCACAGGTTGAAGATTTCCCAGAACGTATATTGTTTACTTTCCTCTGAAATACTCCATACGAAGTTCTAACATAAAACAGCAGCCTCTTCAAACTCACCAATGTTTTGTTTGTAGTTAATCAAAACAAAAATGGACGAACGTTCAAACATGTTGTAACACACATGCAACTCATACGTTTGGATTATAACGTTGCCGTTTTGGGGTAATGAGAACAAAAAATTGGTCGGAATATTGTTCCATTTATTATTTTTGGGGTGTTTTTAAGAAACCATACCCTCATGACCCTTCCCCTTAAAAAACCTAATTTTTGTGTGGTTTTAACAAATCTCCATAGCCCAATATACCTGATGAGCCGCTTAACCAACGGCGAAACGCGTCGCATAATGGTGGGTACGTAGGAAATTTCTTGAATTCCTAGTAAAAAATCGGATATATCCTATATATTTTAGATAGGATTTTTTTTCTAGAAAAATCCAGGGATCTGACTTTTTATGATCACTTTCAAATACAAGGCAAAATTCAAATAACAAAAATGAACTAAAGAACTTTATTTGGCATTCATCGGAATGTCTGATTTGGGCCAAATATGCACCGTTGTATAATTTGCTGCCGTTTTAAAGGTAACTTCATAATGCCTCTCTCATGGAAGTTCTGCTCTCCATTCGCAAATTAGACACCATTTTGCAGTGCAAGAAAAATATGATAATCGTTCGGTGCCAAGTCCGGACTATATGGCAGATGCATTAAAACTTCCCAAGCAAGCTTTCAAAGTTTCTGGCGAGTCACTGTAGATGTGTGTGACTGTAGAGATCACGAGTTAGCGTTTGGCCATATGGAAGCAACTCATAATAAATAATCCCCTTCCAGTCCCACCAAAACTTTCCTGGCCGTTAGTCCTGGTTTGGCCACCGTTTGGGGTGCTTCACCGTTCTTTGACCACGATCGTTTTGGCACTGGGTTATCGTATATGATCTATTTCTCATCTCCAGTCACCATCCGTTTAAGAAATGGGTACATCTTCCGTTCCGTTTGGCCAAGGCTTCGCAGATGGAAATTCGATCAATCCTATTTTTTTCTGTTAATTGGTGTGACACCCAAACATCGAGCTTCTTTTTTAATCCAGCATTGTGTAAATGATTTAAAATAGCTTTATGGTCGATTTTTAGCTCCTGGACGATATTACGACTGCTAACATGACGTTCAACTTCGATCATATTCGACGCTGGCCTAATGGATTTCATTTTCCCCAACCAAATATATTCTATATAATTTCCAATTTGAGATTCGACGCCGGCTTAATGAATTTAATTTTCCTCAACCTAATATATTCTATATAATTTCCAATTTGAGATATATAGACATTTCTGAAAAAAAGATCCGGAGAACTTTCTATTTACGGTCAATGCTAACGGTAACTCCTAAACGGTTCGTCTCTTGTCTTGAGATTTGTCTTCCTTAACTTCTAGAATTCTTAGTGATGTCCTTTTCACACAAACCTCCTTTAAGTCATGAAGGTCTGTAAAAGCTGGCCAGTGGCATATGAAATGTTCCAACGCTTCACTGCCTTACCCACATGCTCCACGCGCACACAATCTTTAGTAAATAGGCCTGTTGGCTAAGCTGTCCTGTAGGAATACCTGCCAGTCTGCTGATTTCACTTTTGTTTGCTGATTCTTACCATCCGGAGATATGGGCTCGAGACAGAACGTTTGCTCCATAAGCCGAACTAAAAAATATTTGCAGGCGCGCAGCATCCTCCACTTGATCTTTCCATCGAATTCGTGGCCTTACATCAATAGGCTCGCTTTTATATGTCTTTGGAGCTGGGGCATCCTCATTCATCGCTGCAGCTCGATACGACTGACTATGTCTATGTCCGTGTATAGATGGTAAAGCTTGTGGTTCATTCGACGCCGAAATTTACCATTGACGAAGATCGGGCCGCAGGTACCCACGCTTCTGATCCATACACCAGCACGGGTAATATCACCATCTTGTAGAGTGTCTGGTCTGGCGAGAGGTGGCCTTGTTTCTAATTTGCTTACTTAGACCAACACTATCCTGTTGGCCAACACTATCCTTTTCCGAATTTCAAAATTGATGTCATTTGATTTATTTGTGGCGGTACCGAGGTATATAAGTTTTCAACATGTTGACCCTTTGTTAGGGAGGTACTCCAAGAAGTGGACCGATGGGTTGCACCTTCGGAGATAATCTAAATACGGTAAAATATTACCATATGCAATGTTTCTGAAATTGGATATTCGGTTCGCTCAAAGGGAAAAGTACAAAATTCTAAATGTTCACCCTTTGTGGGGGAGATACTAGAAGGAGCAGGACGATATGTCTTATTTTTAAACCATATGTATTTATATTTAAAATATCAGGTTGTGCCATGTTTTTTATTTGAATCGGATGCTCTGTTCGCATGATATTATAACTTGCATTTCGACACAATTTTGACAATTTTGTGGGGGAGGTACTAGAAGGAGTGGACCCATTTTCACCATTTTCGAACATGAGTCGAGTTTGAAAAAAAATATTACGATGTACAAAATTTGTATCAAATCGGATATACCATTCGCCTAATATTGGATTTATGAATTATGAAAACTTTGAACCTTTGTGGGGGTGGTACCCAAATGAGTGGACCAATGGGTCGCATCTTTGGACGTGATCAAGGTATGGTAAAAATAATAGGATAATAATAGTCCATTCGCATGATATAAAATAAATTTTCAAGAAAATGTTAACCATTTTGTGTGGGAGGTACCAGAAGGAGTGGTCTGATATTTCCTATATCCGAACTTAAACTAAGTTTGGAATAAATATTACGATGTGCAAAGTTTGAATGAAATCGGTTACTTCGTGTGAGAATTATCGTGCGCACCAGTCAAACAGAGATTTGTAAATCGTCTCAAAATCATCTGAAACGGATTTGGTCCAAAGAAATATGGGGTCTAAAACCAATATTTCGATGAAGCATATTTTTATTGTATGAAAAATTAGTAGCAATATTACATCTGAAGCGGTAACACTGTAAATAATCACAGGGCCATGCCAAACAGCTTTTAACGCCAACCAAGAGCTCACAGATATGGCCACACTGCAGTGAATTGGTGTGTGTGCGAGTTTTGTTGTGATTTTTGTTTTCTCTTCTATTTGGTTTTGTAGAAGAGCGTTGTTAACTCTCTTCGTCAGTTTGCTCAGTTCACTGACTGTTGTGTGTGTGTTATGTTTGTGCTGCTTGGTCGTGTTGTCGTTCGACCAGTTTCGTTCATAGCCAACAATGTTCGTGTGCGTTGTTGTGTTATTGTTGTTTTTGTTTATGTAGTGATATTGTTGTGTTTGAACTTGCCTGACTGGTTGGTTGGCGTTGCTTGCTTGCCAGAAAACAAGTTCGAGCGGGGTTCGTGGTAATGTTTTGTTTTGGAGCCGGTTTAGTTATGAAGTTGCAGTCAATCAGTCAGTCGGTTGTTGAGGTTTGGAGCGCATGAGACTGTTGTTAATTCCCTTGTATTTTGAAAACGTCACTGTGCATAAAAACAAAAAAAGCGCGTCGCGGCGGCAACGGTTTGTTTCTTGTATTTGTTTTGAAATCTAAAACGTAAAAAGGAGGAAGAAGAAGAAAACGCAAAAGCTAGCTAAATAGCCAGCCATTACGGTTTACAAGTGTCAATCAGTGTGATTTGTTGTTGTTATTTGAGTGCAAAAATAAAACAAAAAATACAGGGCCCGCTCTGGGCAAATAAAATAAAAAATAAAAGAAAAGAAAAAATTACAGTAGAAAGGAAAAAAGTTGGCAGCAAAAAAATAAAAGGGAATATAAAAGAAAATTTATAAAATACAAAAATAGTAAATAAAGAAAGAAAGGTGCAAAAAAGGCAAAATTAAAAATCATGATCTATTAAACAGAGAGAAGTGATGTAAAGAAACAACAACAGCAGTAATAACAAAAACAAAAAATGTGCAAAATTAGCAAAATGTTTTGAAGAAAAAAGAAGAAGAAATCAAAAAAGAGGAAATTAAATTAAAATAATTCTAAAAATTAAAGTGAGAAAAAAGTTTTTTAATGAGTGATATTCCCCCCTCTAATAACACGGCACTCAACATGTCCCGTGAAGAGGAGGAAGAGGAAGTCCGCACTCTGCTGGAGCGCCATCAAGAACGTATCCGTTTGGATTTAGGCAATACCGATTTGTTGGCGGTATTGGTCAAGAACTCTGTACTCAGTCAATCGGAAGAGGATTTGCTGTTGAAACCCTATAATGCGGGTGGACAAAATTCCGCCCCATCAAGTGTCGGGGTAACGAAACGTAAACTTAGTGCTGTGATTAGTAATGCAAGTAGTGGAACGACAGGTAGTACCGGTGGCAGTAGTACGGCCAGTGGTAGTGCTGGTACCATAGGAGGTGGCTCTGCTAGTGGTCAACTGTCACGTAGTGCCAGTGTCAATAGCAGTGATCAACATCAGACATCGGTAAATGTCACCTCAACCGATAATCGTTCCATAACCCCATCCGTGGTACAGGGTAACACCACGACAACACTAAATTCTGCGGATTCTATTAGTGATCACTATTCCACCAAGGATGATTTAAAATCGGATACCTATAATGATGCGGATATTTTGCGTATGCAATGCTCGACACTGATTGAAATCATTGCCAAAAATGGTTTTGAAAAATTCAAACAATTCTGCTATGCAATTGAGAATGAATGTCCACAGCTGATTGAGGATTTAATTAATGATCGTTTGAAATGTGGTAAGTTTTGGGCAGAATATATCGTCCACATATTTGGTAAGCACTTTTGGTTTGTGTGTCAATTTCAAAAATTAAAAAAAAAGAAATAAAAAGTTCAAAAGTTTTGTGGGGGAAGTAACAGATCGCAGATCGCTTTGACATAGCCAAAGTAAAAATATTTTGATGTTCAAAGTTCGTTTGAAATTGAATTAAAAAAAATTAAAATTTTGACATTTTGTGGGGGAGGTACCAGAAGGAGTGGACCAATGGGTTCCGTTCTTGCTCCAAAGTTAAAAAATTATGATTTGCATTCCATTTGTGTGATATTAAATTAAAAAAATTTTGACCCTTTATGTGGAAGGTACTAGAAGGAGTGGACTTATGGGACCTATCTTCGGACATGAATTAGGTTTGGTAAAACTATTACCATTTGCAAAGTTTAGATCTCCCAAAATGTTGAAAAACTTTTTGTGAGGGAGTGTACCCATCTTCGGACTTGATCTACCCAAAGTTAAAATATTATGATGTGCAAAGTTTGTATCAAATCGGATATTCCATTCGTTTGATATTGAATTAAAAAAATTAACATGAAGATGAAAAAAATATTACGATGTGCACAATTTGGATCAAATCGAATATTTCATTCGTCTAATATTGGATTTATAAATATTTAAATATTTGACCCTTTATGTGGGAGGTACCAAAAAGAGTGGACCAATCGGCCCCATCTTCGCAATTGATCAAGGCTTGGTAAAGAAAATAGGTTGTGCACAGATCGCTTCAAATCGGATAGTCCGTTCACATGATTATATAAAATTAATTATCAGCAAATTTTGTCTATTTTGTGGGAGAGGTACCCGAGGCAGTGGACCAGTGGGTCCCATCTTCCAATTTAATTTAAGTTTGAAAGAAATATTACAATGTGCAAAGTTTGGATGAAATCAGTTACTACCTTCGAGAGTAGCAACCAGACATAGAGACAGACGTACAAACATTTGTAAATCTACTCCAAATTGTCTGATACGGATTTGGTCCAAAGAATCATTGGGTCTTAAACCAATATTTTGATGGGAGCACGTTTTGGCCGTATTAAAAGTTTATATACCATAATTAGCCATAAGGCTCAGCATATAAACAATGATTTCTCCAACGAGATATTCTACCTCCGGAAAGTTCTGGCCACCGTTGTGGGTCCGATTGTCATAAAATTTGCAAAGGGAATAATTTTTGAGGTATGGTCTTTTCGGTCATCAAAATATCGAAAAATCCTTTTGTTTATTTTTTTATAGTTCGTTATTGGCAACACTATTTCAGATTGGAGTTTATGCGATTTTTTGTTGTTGTTGTTTTTATTTTCGAAATTATCATGAGCTAGTTTTGTCAGCTACTGTGACAGATCATTACTCAAAATTAAGCCATTATGCAAACGAGTTTTAAATTGGTTTTCTTGTTTGTTTTTGCTTTGCGTTTTTTCTTCTTGACCAACTGATGCTTTGAGCTTTGAACTTGTTGCATAGCAAATTATGGTCAACAAATGAAGATAAATTAGGGCGTGTTTAAAAGATAATGCAGGTATTCCACAATCGATTTGCGGAACTAGAACTACTACTGGACCTAAGGTAATCCTACCATATAAATAATTTCTAATCATGTAAATGGTCCTTTGACCAATCAAGGTTATATAAGGTAATGCAGATATCCCAGATTGAGAGTCTATTGGGGTTAAGCTACACCGACCATATGAAAAATTTCTTGTCTTGAAAATGGTCCTTCGAGCATATGAATAATTTCTTCAACCTAGAGAACTAGAACTCTACTGGATCTATCTACCATATGAATAATTTCTAATCACGTAAATGGTCCTTCGACCAATCAAGCTACCTAGGTATATAAGATAATGCAGATATCCCAGATGGAGAGCTAAGAGTCTACTTGAGTTCGCTAGTCCGACCATATGAATAATTTCTTGTTCTACAAATGGTCCTTCGACCAAGTCAAGTTAATACATTTAAGATAAAAGTTGCCAGTGTGGTCCAAGATTTGTTCCAGGCTGTCATTACTGTTAACGAATAAATCAGGAATTTGATCATATTACAAATACCTATTTCTGTGAATGGTCCTTCGAACATTCAACTCTACGAACATATGAATAATTTATTGTCCTAAAAATGGTTCTTCGACCAAACAATTCTACATAGGTATATATGATAATGCAGATATCCCAGATGGAGAGCTAAGAGTCTACTGGAGCTAAGCTAATACGAACATATGAATAATTTCTTGTCTTGAAACTGGTCCTTCGACCAAGTTAAGTCAATACATTTATGAAAAATGCCGCTAGTGTGGTCAAAGATTTTTTTCCATAGGGTTATTGTTGGTGACGAATAAATCAGGAATTTGATCACATTAAAAATTCCTAGTCCTGTAAATGATCCTTCAAGCCTTCAACTCTACGACCATATGAATAATTTCTTGTCCTATAAATGGTCCTTCGACCAGTCAAGTCTATACATTTATGATACAAGCTGATACAGTGCTGGTTGAAGATTTGTTGCTGTGGGTCATTGTTTGTGACGAATAAATCAGAAATTTTATCATATCACAAATTCAAGTGTAAATAAGTTATGTCAAAACCTTCCAGAATAGGATCAGATATGGTAACGAATATATCATAATAAATGTGAAATTAAAAATATTCCTCGTAACAAATGTATTAGAGAAGTCATATCGACTATTTTGATATGCAAGAGGATCATTATTAGTGGCGTATAAATCCAGAATCATATCATAACACAAATTTCTAGTCCTGTAAATGGTCCCTCAATATTTGCTTCAGAGGGTAATTAATGGTGTCGAATAAATGCAGAATGAGGCCATATTACATGTAAATGGTCCTTCGAGCATTATGACAAAACCTTCCATCATAGTCCAAGATCTGTTTCAGGAAAATTTAGCAAATTTAAAATTAAATGGGTACATCTGTAGCATTGTAGATTTACTATATTCACATTTACGTATAATTTGTTGTGACACTGAGTCTGTTGCTGCTTCCCAAAACCAGTTTAGCAAATTTTCAATTTGCATTTATTTTTTTAATTTTAATTTTATTTTTTGTTTTTGTTGTATTTTTTTTTCCAACAACAAAAAAACGTCATAGTTTTTATAGTTTAATATCAATGATTTGTTCGTTTGTTTCGTTGTGAATAACAAATTATACAACCTGTTCACCCTGCATTCGCCTCGTGGGCTCTATTCGCGATTTACATGAACGATTTGACAATAGAATCTCATTAAAAATTGAAATCAAAAGCAGAGGGTTTCAACACGAAAAAAATAATTTCTATACATATTAATTGAATTTTAATTACTTTGTTTTAGTTCCTATGGTGGGGGAAGGGAGAGTAGAGGGAGGATGTAATGAGTTATAAGCTTTGGGCTAAGAGATTAATATTAAAATTTTGACAGCAGGAAATTAGCAACAAATTAAATATCTACAAATTCTGTAATTAAGATTTGTTTTGTTGTGGGCTATTCTTGGTGGCGAACAAATTAAGAATAACATCATATTACAAATTCCTTGTTCTGAAATTGTCCTTCGAGCATATGAATAATTTCTTGTTCTATAAATGGTCCTTCGACCATATCATATTTATACTTTTATAATAATAGCTGCCAATGTGGTTCAAAATTTAGTCCAGGTTATTGGTGACGAATAAATCAGGAATTTGATTATATTACAACCACCAGGGTAGTTCGGTTCGGTCTCAAAGAGGCTGAATGGAAACTGGAACTATTTTTTAATTTTAAAGTATAGAGTCCCAATGTCTTGCCAAATTTTTGTTTGACAGTATCTTCAGATGGAGACCGTCATCTGGGGTCTGAAAATATTTTACAAAATCAGTGATTTCAATAGTCGATCAATTTATGGCCCATCAGAGCTGATTTCCAAGAGGCAGAATGGGAAAATTTAATATTTTTTATGAGTTGTAAGTATTGGATCCCGAATTCTTGTCAAACTTAGTGACAGAGTTTTCAGATGAAGATGGTAATTTTGGTCCCGGAATACCAAATTACAGCCACTTCGTAATGCCAAAAAATGTTTACTTCAGTTGGAAAATCCGCCTAGGATCATCATAATACATATAAAGGGTCTGCGCTTTAATATGAAGGCTCTACTCAAATATCGACCGAAATTTATAATTTTTGGTAGGAAGATTTGCTACCAAATGGGAACTTTAAATATAAAAACTAAGCCAAATTGGCTGACAAAAAATTCGCAAAATGACGAAAATTAGGTGTAGCGCTCTATACGGGGTCTATTGAAAAACGTGGACCGATATGGATAATTTTTGGTAGAACTATTTGATACCCCATGGGGAGACAAAACATCAAATTACAGGAAATTCGGATACAAATTAGCCCTATTTCTTGAAAATATCGAAATTTCGAAGGGACACTATATGGGAAAAAGTTGACCGATACCGATCATTTTTGTTAGGATGATTTGATTGAAACCCGATGAGAATACAAAATATTCATTCAAATATTCGCTTAAAAAATTCGCACAAATTTAAGAAAATATCGAAAATTCGGAGATCCCCTAAAAGTGAGCTACTCTAAAAAGTTGACCAATATTGATCATTTTTAGTAGAATTATTCCATACCCAGAGAGAACAAAAATATTTAATTACAGCCAATTCGGTTGGGAAATGGACACAAACACCCGAAAATACCGAATGTTCGGAGGCACCCTTAAAAGGGGGCTTCCCCAAATAATCGATCAATTTTGATAATTTTTGGTAAGAAGGTTTACTAACCATTGAGAACGCAAAATACCAAATTACACCCAATTTTGTTTAGAAATCCTCAAAATATCGAAATTTCGGAGGTGCCCTTATATGAGAACTACCATAAAAAGTTGACCAATATGAATAATTTTTGGAAGGACTATTTGTTACCCAATGAGAAACCAGAATATAAAATTGCATTCAAAAATATTCCCAAAATCCGTAAAATACCGA